CGATATGCTGGTTGAACGACTTTCCTAAAACAATTATATCGTCTAGTAGACAAGACATGTTTTCCATGTGAGAACTCGTTCAAACGTGGCTGGAGCATTGCACAGTCCAAACGGCATTATTGTGAATTGCCTCAAACCCAATCCGATTAAAAATGCTGTTTTTTCGAGGTCGTTTTTCTCGATCTTTACTTGCAAATAACCGTTTTTCAAGTCTAACGTTGAAAACCAGTGTGAACCGGACAATGTTTCCATGATGTCGTCTATTTTCGGTAGTGGATAACTATCTTTTTCTGTCATTAAGCTTTCTGTAGTTTACACACGTCTTTTTTCTTTACTAGGACAACTGGTAAGGTCCAAGGACCAGTTGACGATTTGATGACACCTTTGTTATGCTTTGTAGTTATCATCTCTTTTACCTCTTTTTGTTTTGCTAGTTGAAAACGGTGTGGCACTTGTCTGACTGGCTTCGAGTCCTGAGTATCGATTCAAAATTTACAATATTGTCGTAAATGTCCTTTTTTACCACAATTCTAGCATTTTGGTGCACCATAATCCTGAGCCTTCTGTTCTAGAACCATCCTTTGACATGAACATTTTTCAAAAATTTGGCGTAGCTTCACGTCATATCTTTGATGTTTGCTTTGCTGACTGAAATGTAAGACTATATGTAACGACGTCTTTGAGGTTACGTTTGTTCTGTTTTATCTTGATTATCGTCATGGAGGTTGAGTTTGTCCTGTTTTTTCTTAATTATCGTATTCGGTTGAAAATACATCTGCAAAATCCGCTATCAAATTTCCGGCTTTTGAACCATCTCCCTGTTGCAAATCAAGTTCACCTAATAGATCTTCCGTTAGCTGTTTAAGGTTATCCTTATCAAATAGCCAACCATTATTCTGATGTTGAATATCCAAAGACATCACAATGTTTACAGATCGAAAAAAACCTATTTCATGGTCTTTTTTAATTGTGATAGAATGCTCTACGACATTCAACACTCGAACTGGAACAAAGCCATTTTCATTTGTTCGAATGCAAATTGCCTAGTTGAACAATATCAGAAACTTTTTTACAGACGGACGCTATTCCTCTGGTAGCTGTTCAAAGAATGAATTTATGAAATATTTTTTTTAGGTTAGGTGCTAGATCAGGAGTAAAATTGACCTCGTTGCTCCGGCTTCGATCGTGATTGTACATTGTTGTGAATCAACTTTGCCATCCAACCAAAAATCGTAATTACTTCAATGCAGCCTGAGGACTTTAATCATGGTACTGGGGGCGTCAATTTTACTAGTCAATTTCTGACCCGCGAAATTGGCTTTTATTAGTTTCTCGTCCCCTTGTTTGAAGCAGTCGGTCGTGACGCGAGGTCACCATCTAACCGTTTGTGCCATGTTGCTGCACAATGACGACAGTTATTGTTTCTGGAGCGTTGTTTACAATCTTGTTGTAAATGTCTTTTTTCCACGATTCTAGCATTTTTTTGCACCATAATCCTGACTTTTCTGTTCTAGAACCATCTTTTGACACAAACATTTTTTACAAATTTAGGGTAGCTTAACGTCTGTCTTTGATGTTTCTTTTGCTAACTCAAATGTAAAACTGTAGGCGACGGCGTCTTTGAGGCTACGTTTGTCTGCTAGTATGAGGGTTTGTATAAGATATAAATCTCGAACAGCCTTTACAAACGTTTTTAATGCAGTTTCTTCTCTGTGTTGTAGGGTATGACAGCAGTGTCAACCGTTCAATAACATCCTGTGCCAGCTGCTGTGTTGACTCCCAGGGTCAGTGCGGCCGTCCGGTTTCGTAACTGAGACCGATATATTTGCTTCATATGTTTTTCACCATAACGTAAATTTAACTAACCAACTAAATTCATAGTTACAATAGTTCTCAACTGGAATCGTTTGAAGAACTTCTGTAGCTGACCCTCGTAACGCTACCACAAGAGCTGTTGCCCGCTTTCTTTCATTCCAGACATAATTTTTTGCTGCAGTTTCAAACTGGGCTTTATAGATATTCTAAGAAGTTTCTCGGTTAAATGCTGGCGCTTTCAATGTCTTCACGGTCACGTGGCTTACAGGAGTGGAGTTTATTTCCTAGCTCTTGTTTAAGTTTATCCATTTCGCAAGATAGCCCGATAATTTCTTGTTCAAATTATTTTCAATTTTTGACGTGTTGTTTTTTATTTTTATCATCTGGTTTGCGTTGATTACGGCCGATTGCATCGAATTTTTCTTTGACTTTTCTCAATTGTTGTTCAATTTTGGCATCAATTTGATTTCTTGTTTGTTTTATTTCTATTGACAGTTGTTCCATTTTTGCATCAATTTGAACTTTCGTCTTTTATTTCTGTTGATATCGTTAAAAAATAGTGCCATCAATTCGGTGTTTGCTCCAGCATTTACAACTGCTTTGATTTGACATCCTGATAGCCGAACTCATGTGAATTCTCGTTTTCATTAACAAGAGCTTCCGTTAGGCGTGCTATCATCAAGAATCTTTTGTTTCCCCTAGTAGCAAGATTTAGGTTTTGTAACTCTTTTTTAAGTTGCACCAATTTAAGTTGATGTAGTTTTGTCATGTTGTAATTTTTGAACTATCGTTTTGTTTATTTACATATCAATGTCAGTGTTAATCAATTAATCAATATTTAACGTTTATAAATTTTACTAATAAAAGTTAATGTTCAAAATTAATGTTGCGCTAACGTATGAAAACACCAAACTAGGAAGAGCAGTGCGCAGGAGTGAGAAGAAGAAGAAGAAAACCTATCGTTTGGATAGGCTGGGCACGTGTTTTGTCCCTACCGGGAACTCAGCAGCAGCCCGATTACCTATCAGAATAGTTATCGCAGTTTCTTATATAGCCCGTACAAATCACTTCGTTAGCTCGTGGTGTTTTATTTATTATTGAAGATTGTGAGTTTTAATCGTTAGAATTTTTAATCCGACAATCTCTCCAACCAGCTCGTCGAGTGTGTGTTGGCGACGTGATGAATGAGGTTGAATTGCTAGGATTAATCCTGTGCTGTTGTATCGAAGAAAGATTCGCATTGGTGTGGGAACTCTCGTTGCTTGTTTCTTCGATCACGTCGGGGTCACCAATTTGTTGCGGTTGAGCTAATGTATGAAAACACCGAACCAGGAAGAGCAGTGCGCAGGAATGAAAAGAAGAAAAGAATAGATTTCGTTTGGATAGACTGGACACGTGTTTCGTACTTACCAGGGACTCATCAGCAGCTGAATACATATCAGATTCGTATCACAATTTTTCCTCAAATAGCCCGCACAAATCACTTCGTTAGCCCGTGGTATTTTCATTTTTTATCGAGGATTGTTAGTTTTAATTGTTAGGATTTGCAATCCGACACTATCAAAATAACGTTCAGAAACTATCGCTTTCCGGATCAAAATTCACTAACGCATATCGCAAATAAAATAACACTTTCGACGCAGAGTCAAATATCAAATATCGCTTTCGACACTAACCAATAGCTATTCGATATCTTGTACGCCTTTATATACTCGTCTTGCCGACGCTTCTCGAACGTCCTAGATATCTCGCTGTCAGAAGGTTCTATTCTCTTATAGAACTGTATGCGTTCGTAGCGACATTGGCGCCTCCAGCAAATATATTTGTGACGGTTATAACAATATGTATATAAAGTTTAGTATAGTTCTTCAGCTAGTATCCAAAATCAAATTTAATCAAAAGTAATTACTTAAAGCTAGTTTGGAATATTTGGATATGAAAGAGCAGACCAAGTTGCTAAATGCCAACTCATTCTAGTTTTATACTATACCTATATCAAGTTATGACATGAGATCTGTAATCCATTAATATATCACATTTATGTAGCAACAAAACATGTACGTACCAATCCAAAAGTTTTCTCGAGATTTCAACTCCCTCAGCAACCCTACAAAATCCCAAATCATCAACGACGATTAGCGATATCAAACAGTGTTATACAAGAATAAAATTGATTGTGAAAAATTAATTAACTCGTGGATATTCTAAAGAAGACCACCTCCATATTGGGATGTTTGTGAATTAAAATTAACCAACCATCATATTATCATAGAATGAGCAAAATTCAACACACATGAACAAATGCAACATCCCTGTTAATTTGTTAACCTTGTTCCAAGATCAAACAAACATACAGAAAAAGATAAACAGCTTTTGTGGTGAAGATGGCTGCTTTAAATCAATAGATGAAGATATGAAGAACATAAAAGATTATAGATAGTATATATGTAACATTGTAAGTGGTTCTGCATATGTCAGAGCTGCAACAATAATGACTTAATAAATTCAATAGAAACAGATCTTATTAACAGAAGGGTTCAGCAATTAAAGAAATTTGGCGTTAAAAGAACCTATCTTAGCTAAAACGCATAACAACAATAAATTCAATCGGTGCATTATTGATTCTCTTCAACAATTCCTTAATTTCAAAGTTCTTTTTCAAAATTTATTAAAAATATCTTAGTGAACGATGTTTCCATATTTTTTAACATTTTGTTTCAAGGATTTAATTTTTTTGGAAATTATTTTAGTAATTTTATTTTTGTTTCATTTGTTTTTTCTTACGCAGACATTTTTTTGTCTGTCAATTTCAGCTTCACGAAATAATGGCTTAATTGCTTTTAATATTTTTTAATTCGCAGAACATTTATATAAAAGCAGATCACACATATTTGCTACATGATATTTTACTGTACTTTCTAATCTATAGACACGGCATGTTTCAGAATTATTTTGTATTTTAAATTTATTTACTTATTTTCTATTTTAACCGTGGAGTGTAACAGCGGGTTCATCCTTTGGTTGATTTTAATAATTATTTTTATTAAAAAATTTGTCCGATCAATTTTTGGCAGAAACAAGACATACACAATTTTAATTTAAAAAACTATGCAATGTTAATAAATATTGTTGAATTTTATATAAAAAAAGTTTTGCTACATCTAAGCCTCGGTTGTAAACATTTTTTAAAAATCTGATAATTTAAGATCTGAGGTGATGGACGGTTTCCTGCTCGTTAACTTGACTTCATTGAGGCCAACAGATGGTCTCCGAGGCCGAGAAGGAGTCAGTGTGTTGTTGTGGGCATCTGATTTGGACATCTTTCCATTCGGAGACCTCATGATTTGTGGGTTCATTTCATTGAGTTTGGTTCGCTGTCCGAACATCAGAGTTGATAACGTTTCAGAGGAGTGCTGCTCGCCGGCAATGATATGCATTATAAGTACATGCACGCTGTCACAACCTGTTTGTGAATTTAAAGTTAGTTATTAAAATGGGAAACGATTACAAAAACCTGTCATAATTACTAAAGGAATCTTGAAGGATGTGCGTGAGTTTTGATGATCTGAATGGAATGTGAGATTGTTTTGAATTGAGAGCGTGCAGAACATCTCCGAGGCAGCTAAGAGTTTTGTTAACGTTTTGGTATTCTTTGAATCTATTTAAATCTTTCGGGTTTTTTTCTATCTTTTCCGAATCAGCCAAATCAACAATGTGGAGTTTTGCTGCAAAATTTAATTTATTTAACACTTAATATCAGTTTTTTATTGATATTATGTTAATTTTTGTTGTAATTAAAATTGTGTATGCTGATGATGCCAATTTTTGTACACATCATTATCTAGATGACCATCTCGTCCGAAGATTTCACAGAACTAAACTTTTGGGTGTAGTTATCACTAAAAATTTTCGCTAATACAAATTAGATATTTCATTGAAAGCGTTTTTTAAAATTTTTGATTTACTTATAATTTTCACGTTTTGAGGTTAATTCATGACGGGCTATATAAAAAGTGAACGATGCAATCAAACGACATAATAACTTTACTATCCCAATTTAACATTTGTCTAAAGATGCAAACGTGTCAGATTTAATTTCAACACAATGTTTAATGTTTCACCAACTTGTTATTGATTTTCTTTCATCTGAATTAGCACTAATGTATAAAATATGGATGAAGTGAGACACTGTGGTGGGAAAATTTTTCTTGAAAATCTGACCTTTTCTTAGTGCCTGCAATACACATTTTACGCTGCTAAAAACTGCAACATTAGCTAAAATAAAACACTAGTTACTTTTTTCATTTCTTCCAATGATGCTATTGGAATTTTTGTCAAATTGATCAGACTTAGTCCGCCATCGTTGTTCTGCTTTGCTTCCAGTTTGCATGACTTCAGATCTTCATGTTGAATATCTCTTTTGAAAGTTAAACAACAATATAACAACCATGTTCTGTGAACATATAAAAAACTACCTAAATATGTCGTTTTTCAATTCTACCAAACTGTAGTGCAAGGTGAACTGGTTGTTTAAATGGTCAAGCAAGTATACAACCGTTTTCATTAACAAACCGTCGCTAATAGTAGAACCCTTTAAACAGTACAGGTGAATAGTAAATTTTTTTAATATATTTAACAAATTTTAATAAAGTGGCAGAAACTTCTATCGTGAATGTCTTCCCAGACCCCGCTTCGCCGTAAGCAAAAATGTTCACGTTCACCCCGTCAAAACAGGACTTGAGAGTTGAGGTGAGATTTTCAAATACCTTCAATGATAACATAAATGCTACCAAAAAAATGTTACAGAACAAATATATACTCGCACATCTGATTAACTGAAGCAGCACAAAATTATGAAATGATCACATGGAAAGAAGGGACCAACTTCGTCGTTGGAAGAGCTGGCTGGATAGGCGTGATCTACGTCGAACATTTTAGTCCGATTGTTATGGATGATTTTAATTCTATTTGTTTGTTCAATGCTTACCACAGATGTTCCATCACATATTGATGGACAGATCCGACAGATGGTTTTGTTACCTGTTCGTAAATTTATAACAGACAGGTTTTATATTTTTTTTTTAATATTTTGTTTCATCTTTATCATTACAACAAAACATTTAATCCTACCTTTTAGATTAGCTGATTTTACTGGTGCGATTTCTGTCTTGTTAACTAAATCAATTATGTTGATGCCTTCTGAGCCAGATTCATAATTTTTTTCGCTACTGCTAGAAACTGAACATTCCACCTTTGAAGCTTCTTTAACATCGCATTCAACTTCGTTTCTTATATTTATCTGCTGTTGTTGTTGCTGTTGTTGTTGCTGTTGCGGCAAATTGTTTAAAAGACTGTTGGGCTTTACTTGTTGAATTTTTTTCGGTGTTGTTAAAACCCGCGAGTTTAAATTTTGTTTAAATAACGGCTGCGTCGGCGTTTTCTTTGCCGAAACTATTTGGCTGGGACCAGTTGATTTGTGATACTTTTGATATTCTATTAACTTTGACTCGGCCTGTCAATTTTCACAGTTTAATTTAATAAAAATATAAATGAAACAACTCTCGACTCGTTTACTTGTTTTAACTGCATAACGACCCACTGATGGAAACTTTTGTAGTCATTGAGAAAAACAAACATGCTGGTCTTCAGATCAATGATGCTCTCTTTTATGCTTGCATTTTTCTCCAAAAAACTTATGCATGGATTCGGAATTTTCTACAATAAAAATGGTTTAAATAAGATAATAATATATAAAGGTAATAATTTTTAACCATTTTTAAATTTAAGGAACATCTTAAGGATCAATGGCAGCGCAGAATGCATTTAAGCTGTTGAATCGTTTACAAAAAATGCAAAACTAGGCCACATGTTTTTATTTTCTATCGCTAGATGTTTTTAAATTGATATTTTATTGTTTATTAGAACATTTAACAGTGATGATTTCACTATTTGGCGTTCAATTTGGATATTAAATCGTTAAAAAAGATTATTTCTAAAATAGATTTTTAAATATAATAAACGTATAGTCATAACTGAAAAAACATATTGTAAGATATGAAACTTAACGCTTGTTCAAAATCCAAACAAATACAAAAAATTAGTTTTTCATTTTGAGTGTCTCTGGTATTAGTGATGAAAACTCTTTAAAACTTTTGATTTCGACTTATTCAACTTAACAAATTTTATAATTCAAATTTTGGCAAAAACAAAAACTAGCTAGAGCTTGGTAATACAAAAAAAGATAGAGAATTTTAATAGATATCTAAGTATGATAAAACGGGCAATAAAGAGCAAGGACAATATGGTCGTGTTGAAACTTTAAAAGGCACTAGTCCAAACCAATTTAGAGTACTGCATCCAGGTTTGGAATTCCAACTCACAAAAGGACAAAGTTGTGCTTGAAAAAATTCAAAAGAAGAGGACAACAAAAAATTATTGAAAGATGTCAGGGCATGCCATATGAAGATTGAGATCATGCATAAAAAGGTGGCAGAAAGACTGCGAAATTTTTTTATGCCAAGACTCACGGCAAAAATTTTCAAACAATACACAGGAGCAATCAAGCAGACAGCCATAGAGTTTTCAATGAATGGAACAATTTTAGAAGGGAGCTGGTAATTATTGAATACTAAAATTCAATATTTTTCTATAGACCAAGACAAAAAAGGGAAGACCGGGATATGGTATGCAGTCCGATGTAGGTATTGCATGATTTGATTTGCATATAGAGCCTCTCTCGAATAGAAACTATTTTTTTCATGGTAGGAGAGTTTGGATCATCTTAGTTCGATAACTACAATTTCAGTTATATTACTGTTTTTGTTGTTTTATAAAACAAAAACTAATACGATTTAATGTCTAATTTAATTAGTTTTCAAAAAGATAACCTGTTCTTTTCTTTTTAATAGGTTTTGCAGAATACTGAGCTGTTTTTTGACCAGCATTAGTTCATTATAGTGTTCGCAGCCGTCTTCACAGCGTGTCTTCTCTCCATAAAAATTGGGCGCTAGATGTGAGACAGGTGGCGTGTCGTTTGCTGGGTCGTGACCTGTCAAGCGTTAATCGTTAGTGGGATTTTTTTCCCGTTAAATTAAAAATTGTTATCTAATTAAAATCAATATAAGGAAATCATCAAGGAAAATCAAATATTAAAATGTTTTACAAAACTATTTTATAGAGTTAATAAAGTTTAATAAACGCTTTACTATTAGTAAATTAATTTTTGTGTGTCTGAAATTATTTTCAAGTAAAATATAAACAGTCTATATCGCTATTCGCCGTATAATTTTTTTTAAATTTAATAAAAATAAAAAATACCGTCAACGATTTAAATCAATTAAATCAAACTTATAAATTATTATTAACACATTTGTTATCCACCAGGGCGATTATTGTGCCCGATCAGTTGATGGAGACAATATTGTTGCAGGTTGCATCGGAGTTGCTTGCTCAAACATGCCTCACTATTGCTTCTCTTTAACATTTGAGCACCTCAAACTTTTCATAACATGGCTTATCGGACAATGTTTTGGATTGCCTTGATTACTATCTCACCAATCGTACGCAGTAAACAAGGATTGTAAATGTTTTGTTGGAACACAAAACATTGTCATGTGCATGGAGTACCTCCTGTGCCGATGTTGTGGCACTGTCGTCTTCAAGGTTATCTACAGTTGTAGTTTCAAAGCTTTTGCTTTCGCTACTTTCACACAAAATTTTTTTGAATGTTTAATCAAGAAATTTATTGATTTTTTATTCAAAGCTTCAGAATAGTCTCAAGATGAACCATGAAAAACATCAATTGCTTCTTATTAGCAATCGGCTACAGGTTTTTATATTCACTTGAATTCAATTTTGACGTCATATTTGGAGTTTTAACATCACATTTGAAGTTTTTGAAATGTTGTTAAATGAAATTTTATTTCAAGTAAAAGTTTTTGTATGTAACTCAAAAAACTTTTAATAATAAAAACTTCCTCCAACGTTCGCCGAATATTTTAAAATTGTCAACACCCTTAGACGTCAATTATCTGATGACCAACAATTCGAGAACAAATTTGTTGAATTTCGTGTTGTCTGTAGAGACCAAGGGTTTGAAATGAAATTTTAAATGAAGATTTCTCCTGCAATTAGACATCACTTGTCACGTTCAAAAAGAATTTAAAATTGTCTTGTTAACTTTTAAAGAGGGAAGAAATATATATAAAAAAGAGATACTATTTTATATAATTTTAATTTCTCATTACTTTTTGTTTGACATACGTTAATTTAACATTTGGGTTCAGGTGGCTGTGCTAGATGAGCTCTCTTTGCACTTCATCACAGTCATCCTGGCTTCATTTTTTTGGAGTAAAAAATTTTATGAAGCATTTTTTACCAATCATGAATATTTGTAATTTTTATATCAAAGAGTATGCGAGAGTTAGTGTAAAATTGTCCATAAGCGAAATTTTATTGAGGACTAAATCATGGTACAAACACACATGGTACAAACACACATAGACCCAGACTATAAAACAGTGTATCCTGGGTCCAGACTATATTGTATGCGTGCACGTGCCGTGCAGCATTCGAGCCTGCCAGACACCATGCTTCCTGCTTGTTAGAACTGCAGCGCTCACGTTTCATTTTCACAGCCAGAGCTAACTCGCTGACCTCATACATACAGTTTACAGTACAAGCAATTTGTTTGTAATATTGAAGAAGATTTTATATGCAAAGAACAAAAATCACTAAAAATAAAATTTTAAATTAACTAACCAGGAATCTCCGCTTTTATTCTCGATACTTTTTGTTGCATATCTTTTATCAATGTTTCCAAATTTTTAATTAGATTTCTCTTTTTGTGCAATGGAATTTCGTAAGAAATATTAGGTGACGACTCCGCAGGTGATGAGGGAGGAAACAACTGCGGTTGAATGTTGAGATAATTTTGTGACGTGAGAAGTGTTGCTGAGGCTTCATCGGAGTCGACGACGGTTTCCAACCTCCATATCGTGTAGTTGTCGAGGATCTGGTAGTACCCGATGTCTTCCGTGACCTCCATTTCGTTCTGTCTGCTGACTTTAGCCTGTTCTATCAGTTTTTAATCAACTTTTTTTAATAAATTTTTTACGTTATACAATTTTAAATCCAAATTTTTTATATAAAAATTTAAATTTCGAAAAAATGAAGAATAAAACAAATGTTAAAATAATTAATCCTAATAGTTATATTCATATTCTAAAATTTAATTCAATTAATTTTTAGAAGTTGAATAAAATGTTTCGTTTTATACATACTTCAGAAATGTTTATCATTCAGTATTCGAAGTTTTTAAGTAATGCTCATTCGAAGCAATAAAATCTAATGTAATTGCAATAGTCTTCTATTCACTTGCAATGCAAGAGTTGCACGACATACTGGATGTACAAATGTTTGGCACTTTTATTATATGATATTATTATATTATAGCATTCTAAAACCTACAGTCATTGATTTGATCGTTGTTCAAGCTTACTCACAAACTATTCACATAGCTCATTGTAAGTGCTGAATATATTAACTACATTTATATTCGCTGCGTACATCGCGTGCGGTAGAATGGTGTATAAATTAATGTACACTATAAGAATGTGATCAGACAATTTTCAATGAGACTAAGTATAAATAAATAAACTACTAATATATTTTACGGTTAAATTGTTGAATTCAAAAATAATTATTAAACAATTCTAAAACTTTTTGTTTATTTTTGTAAGCTTACTTACTGAGACCAATGCGATCATTTTCCAAAAAAATGCACAAAAAGTTATGAGATTAATTGTATCATGATATTTTTTATTTCCGTTTAATTTCCATACTGGCGCAAAAGTTTCAGTAGTTCTTTCATTAATTTAGTAATAAGGAATAAAAAATCGCTTTATGTACTTAAGGTGGAGAAAAATGTTTTGTAACATGAGGAAAACCAAATGTGTATATAAAATAAAACTAAATTAAGAATAAACTGATAACACAAATATGATATGTGTGTGTGTGTGTGTGTGTGTGTGTGTGTGTGTGTGTGTGTGTGTGTGTGTGTGTGTGTGTGTGTGTGTGTGTGTGTGTGTGTGTGAAGGAGACCATGAATTTTACCGAGTTGTTGGCATTAATCAATTTAAAATTTGTCTTTTCAATTTTCCATACTAGAATTTTCTGGAAATTGTTCAATTTGTTGAAAACAGAATTATTATCCAAGTTCATCATGAAAATTTAATGAAACTGTTGTTATCCAAATTCATCATGCAGATAAGGCCTTATTTCGATTTTTTATAAATCATCTTCAGTGCAGGTTTGGTTTATATATAGTTCCTTTAAACAAAGCAAAGTTAGTTCTTTAGCAAAGTGAGTTACTTACTTGGTGTCGTATTCTTCATGTTTGTTATTGCCATTACATTGTTCTTCATTGTTATTGAAGTTAGTATTAAGGCGTCGAGTTGGTAATGATGTTATCATTCTTTGTTGGATGTTTATCTGGGGTTTATTAATATCTATTAGGACAGCTTCTGCAATTTTTAGATGTAAATGTGTTGGTGTTTTGATAAATTAAATTATTAATATATATACATACATATATATATATATATATATATATATATATATATATATATATATATATGTTCTATTAAAAATAATACCCCAATTTGTAGTTATTTGCTTTTTAAATAAGACTTCAACAAGACGTAATTTATCAGACTCATATTTATTTAAGTCCGTGATTTGGCTGACGTAGCCTCCAGGAATGTCAGCACACTTGACATTAAATGTAGGATCAGCAATAAGGCAATAATACTCTTGCAAAATTTTTATCTACCAAAACTAGACTGACAACAAAAAAAATGACATCAAATTTGATCGAAACAGCAATTATGAGTGGCAAGTTCGAGAGAGAAGAAGGCAAGTTGCCCTTTTCGACTTCAAACGACTCCAACTGCTTGTACGTCACTGGTAAATCTCGATCACTGTTTCACTTCATTTTGCTGCAAAAACTTGCAGAGCAATCAATTTGTTATCATTATTAAGTGACCACCTAGTAAAGAGTTTCAGCGTGCATCCACAGCCGCCGATCATCACTTTTTCAATGTTTCAATGCAAACTTTAATGATGAAAATTTGTGAGCAGCATCAAAATCATTTTTGTCGCATTTCATGAAATTTTTTAAAGTTGATTTGATAAATTTTGCGATATCCGATTTTAAAAACCATCAACGTCAACGAATTAAACACATCGACATTTATAGAGAAATTCAAGCTGTATGGCATACAATCATCATTTCTAAAATTCAAACAAAAGAGCTGAAGTGTGATGATTTGTTTTATTTGACATGTTCATCCGAAGAACACTCATAAACTTCATAATATTTATTTGTTCATATTCACGTTTAACATTTATATAGCGCCTACCGCATTTCAAATCGCTTATTATTTGCAATATTGTTAGGCGTCTCTAGCTTGACAAATAAATACAAATAATCACTTACACACAAACAAACAAACGCATACATGTACAGAGACACTTAAATACTGAAATGTTTCAATTTATACACACCTGATGTATGAAATAGCAAGTGTATACGTGCAGATAAATTTAAAATTTGAAATTTGCTGAGAGACGGTCACAAATATAATGCATTTTTTACATAACAGCCATCATTCTTCAGCAGTTTTTCAAAACTTTAAAAAATATCGTTATGTTGGCTCCAAAGAATTAATAAAATTAAATTTGTGACGATTCATTTGAATGAATATTACAATTTTGTACGTTATGTTTATGAATTTTGACTAACAGTAAACCTTTTTTTAGAATAATTTTACGTTAAGCCTTCAGTGCGAGTGTGAAATTTATAGAAACTACTAAAACAGTATCAAATTAATTAATAGCTGCTGTGTGTTAATTAATTTGAACTCGGTAAGAAATTTCGAACAATTTTTTTGCCTTTTGTAAGTGGTTTATATATATATATATATATATATATATATATATATATATATATATATATATATATATATATATATGTATATATATATATATAGTGAGAAAAATCGAAAAAACGAACTACAAACATATAACG